TTTTTGAATTGTGTATAGTTAATCTCTAACTTTTGAACTCTTCTCATTAATAAATGGGCTTTAGTTACAAATGTGTGTTTTGAAATTAATGTTTAATTTTGACTCAATAGAAAATATAAATTTTGGATAAGTTCTAATTTTATACTCATAGACTCAAAAAAAAATCACTTTCCATGTATAAATTAAGTAAATGGACAGTAGCAATTGAAAATTATTTAGACCTTTCGGATAGAGTGAATCTCTTCATTTATGTTTCTCTTCGATTTTGGAACCTTCATTATTAAAATGAATTATTTAGTCCCTTTTTATATGTGTTAGGTGCTTCTAACCCCCATGCACTGTCCCCATACTAACAAGCATTTTTCTCTGTTCTCATTGACTAAAAAAACACTTTAAATCAATGTCTAAAGCCAAGACAAAAAACAGAAATTTCACTATTCATCTGCATTCAGTCTCTTTGTTCTGAACATTTCTTACTTGAAAAATATAAAAATTTAGGCACTGATTGATCAATTTTACTTAGTTGATAGTGCGTTTTATACTATACGAATGTCGTGTAATCTTGAAGTAGATGTCAATGGCCACCATACCTTCTTCGTGACAGAGGTAACTTTGCTTAAACCGTGCTTTCTACACGTTTTGCCTACATTTTTGCTGATAATGTCAAGTCCCTATTTGATTTTTATTCATTTTCCACCACATTTTGTAGATCCACAACGATTATGCTCTTCGGTGTATTAATTTAATTTTTCTTGATTGTGCTGCAGAAAGTTGTTGCGTCTTTCTCTGGTAGATTTAGAAAGTTATTTGGAAAATCGACAGGCAGGACAAGAGGCCTCAAAGTTATATTCCATGAATTCCCCGGTGGAGCTGAGGGTTTCGAACTCATTGTTAGATTCTGCTACAATGGAGGCAGAATTGACATAACTCCTTACAATGTATTGTTACTACATTCTGCTGCCAAGTTCATAGAAATTAATGATTTGACAGACCAAACAGAAGTATTTCTTGAAAGTATCCATCACTGGACCTGGTTAGAGCTAATTGAGTGCTTAAAACAGTTTCAAGAATTAGTAGTACCTTTAGAGAACCAGTCGTGTATGCTGCAAAAAGTCTTGGATTGTTTCATTGGAAGGATTTCTCCCCCTCGTGTTTCGAGCCCTTGTGCTTCTTCATCTTCTTCGTCCTCAGAGAGCTCAAGTGTTCAAGTTTCTGGTGAAATAAGTATTTATAGCAGCAGATTTAGCAGTTCTCTATTGGCTGTTTGGTATCGGGATCTTGAATTCTTGAGCTTGGACTTGTTTGAGAAAGTAGCAAAGACTATGATCTTGCAGAAACTCGATCATGAGACAATATGTTCTTTCCTTAATTACTATCGGAGGATGAAACTTAGGAGTCTTTCATCATCGGAGAAGCGTAAATTTATTGAGATTGTGATCAATTTGATGTGTTCACTAGATGGAAGCTTCATTTCTTTCAGAAGTCTATGTCACATGCTTCAAGTTTCCTTTACCTTAAAACTCACAAAAAGTTCCATGAAGAAATTAGAATGTCTGATTGGTTCTAGGTTGGATGAAGCTACATTGGATGGCTTACTTGTCCCATCTCGACCCAAAAAGAGCCTTGCATACGACGTCAATTTAGTCCTCAGATTCTTGAAAATATTTTTCGAAGAAAGCAGGAAACATTTAGCCGTAAGTCCTTTGAAGAAAGTTGCTCGTTTGACAGATTTGTACATCGCACAAGTTGCTCCTGATCCTCATCTTAAACCTTCCAAGTTTCGTGCATTAGTCTTCGCCCTGCCTGATTTCGTGAGAGACTCTCATGACAGAATTTATGAAGCAATGGACATGTATTTTCTGGTATGATTTCCATTTACAATTCGATATTTCTAAGAATGCTGGTTCTGCATTTCATTTGTCTTCGAGTGGATATGGGCACGGCCAAATTTTTTGTGGCCGACCCCAAAATAACCCGTCTAATTGGACAGATTTTTGGTTTTTTCAGGCTCACAACTATGTATGTGAAGAAGAGAGAATAAAAATCTGTTGCGTGCTGAATTGCGACAAGTTATCTCTGAATTCTCTGATACATTTATCCCATAATGCAAATTTTCCAGCAAAGGGGAAGGAATGTAGGAAAAAGCAGAAAAAAGCAGCAAATGCTAAGAAATTTGATGTAAACTGGCCAAACAAAGACAGATCATTGCCTAGACTTTGTTCATGATATAGAATGTATTGTCACAATCTTCTACTTAGTGAATTTTGTACAATTGGCTAGTGCAGTTTGAAAATCTACTTGTTCTAGTACTAGCATTGAATCTTCTTCACAGTAAATAGTCAACCCGATATTTATCGAGAAATTGCTTGATTTTATTCTAAGGTACCTCAAAGTTGTGGTTCGAAAAACACTTTTACCCTATGAGGATATGGCATGTGCTGTTACACGATTTTACCCGTGACACTTAGAGAATATGACAATTGGACCGATCGATGAAAGAATCTTAACATTCGCGAGGCCGAACCATGTTTGAAAAGTTTTTATAAACGGTTTGAATTATAGATGGATAAAGATACATAAATGAATAGTATTTGCGAATTTCTTGAAATGTGCAGATAAAAAGTGAAACATAAGCCAAACATAGACTCAACTGTATGTTGATTTTAAAAAATCCCCACAAAAATTTTAAATTCCGAATCACGATTTAAAACTTGTTTGTAAAGTTCGTCGCAATCATTCATTAAAACTTGAATATAGTAACTTGGAAGGAAAACATGACAGCCCCGAAGAAGTTCAACTTCTGTTATTGATTTTATTTGTGTTGAAAATCAAGCATAACGGCTCACACACTTAGGGTGCGTTTGATTGTAAATATGGAAAATTGGTGGAAAGAAAATGTTTTATAGGGAAAAGATTTGTCTAAAAAATGTTTTGTATTGAAAATGATTTCAAGTGTGTTTGATTAGTATAATTTTTCACCCGAAAAATTTTTAAATTTTCTGTTCGTTTGACTTTGTTTTACATAGAAATCGTCCATTAAAGTGATATTTTTTTCCACAATTGATTATAAAATTTGTTTCCATTGCCAAAAAGTAACAAAAAAAAAGAAAAAAAAATTCGTTTAACTTTATTTTACATGAAAATTGTCCATTAAAGTGAAAAAAAATTTACATTTGATTATGATATTTGTTTCCATTTCCACAAAAAAAAAAAAAATTTGTTTCAGCCGGTTGGAAAATATTTTCCCAAAATGTTGGGAAAATATTTTCAAGGAAAACAAGAAAATACTGACGTGGCGGCGCGTGGGGAGAGAAAATATTTTTCGGGGAAAATTTGGGCTATCAAACAGCGTAAAATATGGAAAACGAAAAATATTTTTCTACTTCCCTGAAAAATTTCGCCAATCAAACGCGCCCTTAAAGCAAAATTAATTTCTTTTCTTTCTTTACATCGCCAATGTTTTTAAGTATCGACATGCTATAAATCTCCTGTACAATAAACAACGACACTAGTTACTAATTTAATACACATTTGATATATTAAAAAATAGTACAAAAATTAAACTATTAAATATTGGGACAATTATGATGATGATCTTTGTCGTAAAGAATCTTGAAAGTCCAAATTAGTCAATGGATGTTTCTAAAGAATATTTGTGGTTACAAAGTCTACTCTTCCCTAGACCAATACGACACCGATTAATGCGGCTAAGAACATGCACGCACGTTGTGGGTCTCGCTTTCTCGATTAAGAAACTTCCATGGACCCCACTATAGTCGAAGATTTGTCAACAAAACCCTTTCAAAATGTCAATATCCCAAGATGTCCTTTCATAAATTTCAAAACGAACCCTCTAACTAAAAATCCATCTAGATTCCAAGACTTCGACTTTAGTAAGATCAAAAGTCACGGGTAAAAGAGCACGTTTGACAATACTTTTAGAAAGACAAAAGGCTATTTCTAGGACTAAAAAGTAATTTTTGAACATATTTGAATAATTTTTTAAAAGTTTTTTTCTGTTTAGAAGAGTTTTTTAGATGATACTAATTTAAAATAATTTCTTCAAGAAACTCTTCTATAAGAAGCAGAAGCTTTATCAAACGAGCCCAAAATGTCATTTCTTTCTTCAAGAAAACGTTCTTATAGGCTTATTTTATCTTCTCCTAAATACAATAATTTTCTTTTAAGTCCCATTATTTGAAATTTTTTTTTTTTCAAATTCATTATAATACAGTGAACACGTTCTATCTCATATCACGTTATCTTTTGTAAAGTTTAAAAATCACCATCAATTTCTCAATATTGGTCCTATAATTTCTTTATCAATCAAGTGTGAATGCGGACAAAACCTAGATATATATGGCTAAGTGGTTATATCCATTGATGTAGGTCTTGAACACTTGGAAGTCTCATCTGATTATTCCCATCTCAGGATTGGCTACAAATTTTGTTCTTTCATAGATTTGAATATTATTCCATTGACATATTCGTGTTGTGCTAGATATACACCCAATCAATTATCTAATGGATTACACATCCCCTCATATGGAGGGGGCCCACAAATATTCTATTGTGTGTGTGCCCCCCTCCATGTGAGGGAGGTGCAATCCATTAAGTAATGGATTGTGTACATTTAGACTAATCATATTCCATTTTCCCCTTCATTGGAATTTTCACGTTTGCTTCCACTAATTTTAGATAATGGAGAATTGATTGATTGATTAAAATTCTAGTATTATTTTCAAGCGTCAGACATTGAGGGTGTTTGGTGGGATTAAAATTAAATTTTTAGTGGATTGTGATAGAAGTTTTTGAAATGTGTGGTTGAAAAAATGTGGGACTCATGAAAAATGTGATTAATACTGATTGTTTGACTTTGATTTAAATAAAAATCAGATTTTAAATCGATCGAGACAGATCCTGAGTATAGAGGTGAGATATAATATTTAAAGTGAAGGTGGAATTTTGTTTTGGAAAACGAAAACAAATTTAATGTGAAGCAAGTCCTAACATCCTCGAAATCACTCAAAACTGAAAACATTTTGGATAATAGTGTTTGTCCTTTTTGGCTTCCAGAATATATTGAAATCAGAATGCAATAATTTATTGATGAGTCAACAAAGTTAAGAAACTTTTTCAAGGAGTGAAATCCCCAAGGTTCGATCGAGGTTCCCAAATGTTAGTGGAAGACAAAATTTTAGTTCCTAGGTTGAATGAAAACTTGTAAACTATTGGCATTTATGTGTCATACAAAATTCGACAATTTTATGTTCAAGCAGTGTTACTTTCTTATATAACATAAATCGATTGGTCCAACTAATGTATCTTTTCATTTAAATATTGAAATCGTGATATTTCGTTGTTCAAGATGCCCAGTAGCCGAGTGGCTCGAATGGTATGTTTTTCCAGTTCAAAAGAGCTTTTGGCTCAAATATCGTGCCTTTTCACTTATTAATGCATTCGCTTGGTTAATTATTTCGTTAATATTCTTCGTCGTGCTAGATGCTCTTGACCTTTTAAAATAAAATAAAATAAAATAGAAATTCGAATAGCATTACTCTTCGCTTAGGCTCGAATATTAATGTTTTCTTTTTCAGCCCTTGTCCATCAATCCGTGGGAAATTTTAAATAATTTTTTTATTAACAAAAAATTACTTTGCTATAAATTAAGTGTTAATTTAATTTTTAAAAAAAATAATTTAAGTACAACCAAACATGCTACATTTATATCCACCTTAAAACCTATACACTAAACAAATCTCAAGCAAAGAGAAAATAAAATCCAGTTTTCTCTCAACACCTTGATTCTGTAAATTAATTTGGATTGTGTTGGAAAATATGAAATTGGTTGTGACCAATTTAAGTGATTGTTTAAGTGAAATTTTTTGTTTGGTGAATGAAAAATTAAACCAAACTTAAAATGTTTAAATGCTTGAAATTGTTGGAAATTGTATAGAATATTGTGGAATATTCTAGAGAATGAGTAGATGAAAAGATTAGTCTTTTCATATGGAAGATCATGACTTTTGGTGTGAGTAACTTCCAATAATTATGATTCTTAATTTCAAGAGATGTGTCTCTTGGTGTGGTTTCCAACTACTATATATATAGATCCCCATGTGTTTGGATTAACAACAAGAAAGAGAAACAATTCAATTGATAGTTGCATATCATTCCATTCCATGTTTTACTTTAGTTCTGCATAAACCACTTTGTAGAAGTGATTATTTCTTGCATCAAAATCATGGTTATGGTAGAGAGGGAACTTCGTTCGAGTTCATTGGTCTAAGTCATTTGGAGTGCTCCTATGGCTTGACGTGGTCGTTGTATCTTGGGAGATGATTGTCGGAGAAACCGTTAGTACCGATGCGGGACAAATTCATCTTAAAGACAAAGTGTCAAACACTTGCATCGACCGATTGCATCACTTGTATCTCGTCTTTCTTTTCCGATTTCATTCTAATTTAGTATTTTGATTTCGGAAAGTAACTAATATTCTTTTGATTTCATGCAAGGTTTGAATTAAAGAATGACACGCGTTCAAGATTGGAAAGTAATGAATCCATATTCATATATTGGAAGTCGAATCACTATTTTGTATTCTCAAATCAGATTTCGGTAAATCGAATGATATTTCGATTTCACGGTATGTTCTTGATTAATATAATATGCACATTATNCATCAATAACTTTTTTTTTTCAATCACATATTTTCCATCACATCAACCAAAAAAATGCATTTTTAGACCCAAAATGTGCACCAAACATGAGCCATATAGTTCCTCTTTTTAATTTGTTGGATGCTTCTAACCCCACATGTTGAATAATGTTATCTCCATTGCGATGATCCTCGGATAATGTAGTAAATGATGAGGCATGAAATGGTAATGTCAATTAAATGTATGAATATGATACTCATTTTTTATCGGGCTTATCATTTAATATTGGATCATCTTCGATGGGCTAAATAGCATTGTTCATTTTCTTGAATAAATCAGAAAATAAACTATTTCCGAAATGTTGTTCGACATTTTTTATTACAAAAATAATGTGTTGCATTTGTAACATATTGTACGTCTCTTTTTCGCAACACATGTAGCATACTATGTTAAACTTATTCATCGTTGTTGCTGCTACTGCTACAACCATCCATCCCCATCTGCCAATATGAAGTTCATTTCCACCACAATCACAGTAAGTAGATCCCATCCCACCACCATCACAAC